ATCACTAATCTTAATGAATACATGCAAAAAATAAAAAAGGATGAGATAGAGAACCAGAGAGCCTCTACCTTGTTTAATAGTTGCCAACATAGCCTTGCTAATATAAACTCTGATAATAAGAAAAGACTGATCTCAAATGACGAATGTAGATGCAAAAATCTACTATAAATAAGTCTTAATTGGTTGCCTTTATTTGTTGTGAACATCGTCTCAGTCTAAACAAAACAGCAGTAGTCTATGCTTAAAGATTCTAAAAAATAACAACAGCATGCTTGTATTCAGAGAATATATTTTAGGATATGTCATTAGGGTTTGATTATGAAAACAGGATATATGTAGATGGAAACCAGATGGCTGTAGGAACAGCCAAAATTTTTGGAGTGATTAAAAAAAGACTTTTTCTTTGCAGCAGAGTATATGATTACATATTCATTCCTAGATTCTAAAACAAGTTCCAGATGAACACACAATGATTTTTTTTGTGATTATACTTTGAGGAGAAAGTTACTACCTAAATTTTTTTCATAAAAGAGATGTGTAATTCATTTACATCCTGAACCACTTTCTTATCCCACCAATTAAAATTGGAAATAACATAAGCAGCTACTTTTATCATTTAGCTTTGGTTAAGAATGACTCTTACCAACAAGATCTTTACATACATAAAACTTTAGTCAGGATCCTGGACTGTGCTCCATATTCATTTGATGCTCTGCCAAATGTTAATATTTCTGACAGTCATAAGATATACATTTGAGCAATATAAAAACCTTTTAGCAATTCAGATCACCTTCATCCCAACCCAGCTAAGTGTATTTAGTCTCTGGAATATTATTTTTCCCCCTAACTGAAAAGTTTAATGACAACAGAAATCAATAGGTTACTACATTACCAGACATGCTGCCTGTACTTTCCCATTTATATATTTTCAATATATTGCTCTTTTCTTCTATTCACTCAAGTAATAATGTTTTTCTTTTCTTTTTACTAGTTTGAAGTTTTCCATTATACAACAAATACTAACTAGAGTTTTTTTTAATCTGAATGTATTTCATTTTCTCTGAAACTCTCCATAATCACAGCACTCTAAAATTTTTTAGTGTGGCTATCAACTTCAAAGTCAAAATAAATGTAAGGAAATAATGAACCTACTTATGGAATGTAAGTAAAAAGTAACATATTTAATGCCAAAACTGTTCTTTCACCAAATGGAAATTTATATATCAAGTGTACCATAGACAGCTAGCAAGATAGCTCAGCGGAATAAGCGCCTGCTTTGGCAAGCTCAGGGACCAGGGTTCAATCCCCAGTCCCACATACCATGCCAGCTCTGCCCCAGAGCATGCTGAGACAGTGAACAAGTCTGGATGTGGTGGCAAATCCCTGTAATCCCAGCACTGGGGAGGCTGTAAATAGGAGGATCACTATAAGCCCAAGCTACACAGTGAGACCTTGTACCAAATATATATCATAGATACCTACCTTAAAAAGTTACATAGCTCACCAAGAATCTTAATGGAAAGAATTGACATGAAACATATGTTGTCTATTTCTTGCACAGAGCATCAATTTTTGCTTATGTCTGTTAAAATATTACTATCAGGAGAGATCTTAATAAAAATCCAGGGGCTGGTGAGATGGCTCAGTGGTCTAAAGCACCTACTTAGAACAAGCTTGGCAAAACAGAGGGACCACGGTTCAATCCCCCAGCACCACATGCCAGCCAGCCCCGCCCCCTGGTGGGCTGAGCTGGACACACACACACACACACACACACATAAATAAATAAAAATTAAAAAATAAATAAATAAAAATAAAAATAAAAATCCATGCTGTCCTTAATTTCTCAAAACTGATAATTTTAGTATTATAAACTATGTTAATATATATGGTAAACTTAAGACAAGAGAAGAACTTAGAATTTGAACAAAGTGTCAAGCATGGTGGTCTATTTTTGCAATCTTAATATTCAGAAGGCTGAGGCAGGAGGATCGTCATGAGTTTAAGGTTAGCCTTTGTCACATAGTGAGATCCTGAGAAAGGAAGGAAAGGAAGGGAAGGGAAGGGAAGGGAAGGGAAGGGAA